CTTTCGCTTACCTCTTTTCTCTCTTTTCTTTGTTTTTTTATAGGATGCGGCTGTCACTGGCTTTCTCAGCATTTATTACCTGTCTCTAGTTGCCCTTGAGAAGGGGGTGGTGGGCTTCCTTCTTGAACCATTGCAGTCCATGTTCTGTCAGTAGACCTACGTGCCATTTGGGAGGGAATTCCAGGATTTTGACAGTATAGGAATGGCAATATATTTCCAAGTCAGGATTATGAGTGATTTGGAAGGGTATTTTCATGGGGTGGTGTTCCCGTGCATTTGCTGCCATTGTCCTTCTAGATAGAAGTGGTCATAGGTTTGGAAGGTGCTATCTACAGGTTTCTTCATGAATTTTTGCAGTGCACCTTGTAGATGGTATAAGATAGTACATGTGTGGGTGTGGTGCCAGCCAAGTGGGCTGCTTTATCCTGGATGCTGTCAAGATTCTTGAGTGTTGTTGGAGCTGCAGTCATCCAGGCAAGTAGGGAGTACTTGATCACAATCCTGACTTGTGCCTTGTAGTCTGTGTACAGGCTTTCGGGAGTCAGGAGATGAGTTACTCGCTGCAGGATTCCTAGCCTCTGACCTGCTTTAGTAGTCACAGCATTTATGTGGTTGGTCTAGTTCATGACGTTTCTGCAATTGTTCTAATTACATCCACTGGACAAACCACCATATTTAGCTGCACTGTGGCTCATTGAGTCATAGAGCTGTACGGCATGGAAACAGACGGTTTGCTCCAACTCGTCATTCTAAATAAGTTTAGTCCCATTTGCCAGCATTTGGCCCATATCCCTCTGAAACCTTCCTATTCATATACCCGTCCAGATGCTTTTTAAATGTAATTGTACCAGCCTCCACCACTTCCTCTGGCAGCTCATTTCCAAAAATGCACCACCCTCTGCATGGAAAAGTTGCCCCTTAGGTCCCTTTTAAATCTTTCCCCTCTCACTTTAAACCTATGCTCTCTAGTTTTGACTCCCCTACCCCAGGGAAAAGACCTTGTCTATTTATCCTATCCATGCTCCTCATGATTTCATAAACCTCTATAAGGTCACCCCTCAGCCTCAGAAGCTCCAGGGAAAATAGCCCCAGCCTATTTAGCCTCTCCCTGTAGCTCAAATCCTCCAACCCTGGCAATATCCTTGTAAATTTTTTCTGAACCCTTTCAAGTTTCACAACATCCTTCCTATAACAGGGAGACCAGAATTGCACACAGTATTCCAATAGTGGCCTAATCAATGTTCTGTACAGCTGCAACATGACCTCCTAACTCCTATTCTCAATGCACTGTCCAATGAAGGCAAGCATACCAAATGTCTTCTTCACTGTTCTGTTGACCTGGGACACCACTTTCCAGGAACTATGGACCTGCACCCCAAGGTTTCTTTGTTCAGCAACACTCCCCAGGACCTTACCACTAAGTGTATAAGTCCTGCCCTGATTTGCCTTTCCAAAGTGCAGCACTTGTGAACACGGATTTTGATAACACTGTACTAAGCACCTGACATTCCTCGCCCATTCATTGTGTGGACAACGGTTCTGTATAGGAATTGGTTTGCAGTCTCTCTTTGATTGACTAACACCACCCTCAGTATTATAACAAAGACTCTAGAAACAGAAGTACAAGGAGATCATTTCAGTCAACCTGACCACCCACGAAGCCCTGTGGGTATACTGTTAGATTTGGAGGGTACAGAGTTATGGAGAAAGGGACTTTTTGAATCAAGAGCTCAACAGAGAGGACAGCATTCACTGTCACTTGTTGTGAAGCATTGGGAAACAGTGACCTGATCTGTCATGAGGCACTAGCAGCTATCTCTCATTCAATGTTTTCTTCAGCGAATCCTGTTAACTATCCCAATGATCAATCATTTCCCATTTCTCTTACTTGCATGATGAAGAGTATTGATTCTGAAAGCAAAGAAGAAGAAAAGGAAGAAAACAACAGACTTAAGGTAAAAATCTAAACCACCAAGGACTGAAATCTTTGACATAGGGCACAAATGAAACCAAGGATTTGGTATAGAGGTTGTGATTTGGTTGATAACTTCGAAAGGCAAGGGAAGAGAATTCTGAGTAACTGTGAGTTAAAAAGTGACAATCCAACCAAGGACAAGATCACCAATCTTTATAGAGATGAGTTTCCAATTCCAACCTGTTCCACCAAGAACCTTCCAAAGGTTGTTCAGAGTTGTGTAGTGCAATGACCCCGGGCAAAGTGCTGACCAAGCCATTCCTCAGAGTGTACTTGTATGGAGGGCCAAGGGAAGCAGAGAGAATGAAGAGCGAGATTGACCCAGGAAATCTTACACATTTTGTATGCAGTGATCATAGGCTGAATCTGATATAGGTGTAGAAATGCTTACTATGTACAACAACAACCCACATTGATGTAGCACCTTTTACATAATAAAACAGACCAAGTATTAGTGCATAATCAGACAAAATTTGACACTGAGACACATAAAGAGAATATTAGGACCGGTAGCCAAAATCTTGGTCAAAGAGGTAAGTTTTAAAGAATGCCTTAATAGAGGAAAGAGGCAGAGAATTAGAAGGTAATTTCGGGGCTTAAGATACTAAAGGCCACCAATAGTGAAGGATATACAAGAAGCCAGAAAGAGAAAAGTGCAAAGATCTATTCAGGAGCAATAATTATGAATGCTATTGAATGCTGAATATGAATGAAAATCAATATGGATGCTATACAAAGGCAGATGTTTAAGAAAGTAATTCATGTTTCACGAGAACGATATATCCCAGTGAGGAAAAATGATTCTAAGAAGGGGATAAATCAACCTTGGTTAACCAACGAATATACGGATAGCATCAAATTGAAAGAAAAAGCATACAATTTGATAAAGATTAGTGGGAAGCCAGAGAATTGTGAATATTTTAGAAAATTGACAAAAGGTGACAAAAAAAGGTGAAAAAAGACTTTGAAGATAAACTAGCAAATATGATCAAAACAGACAGCAAGAGCTTCTTTAAATACACAAACAAAGAAGAGAGATGCCATTAGCCCCTTACAGAATGAACCTGGGGAAATAATTCGGGGGAATCAGGAAATAACAGAGGAGTTGAATAAATATCTTGCATCAGTCTTCACAGGAGAAGACAATAGCATTCCAAAAATACTAAATAATCAAGGTGCAAAAGGAGGAGAGGAAATAAAGACAATAATTATCACTGGAGAAAAAGTGCTAGGGAAACTAATAGGGCTAAAGAACAAAAAATGTCCTGGACCTGATGGAGTGCATCCGAGGATATTAAAGGAAGTACCTGCAGAGACAGTGGATGCACTGGGAATAATCCTCCAAGAATCCTTAGATTCTGGAAGAGTACCAGAGGATTGGAGAGCTGCCATTGTAACACTTTTATTTAAAATGGGAAGGAGACAAAAAAACAGGAAACTGTACAGGTTCTGAGAAAGGGTCATTTGACTGAAACGTTAACTCTGATAGCTCTCTGCGGATGCTGCCAGACCTGCTGAGCTTTTCCAGCAATTTCTGTTTTTGAAACTGTAGGCCAGTTAGTTTAAGACCTGTAATTGGTAAAGTGTTAGAATCAATTATAAAGAATGCAACAGCAGAGTGTTTAGAAATATGTAACATAATCAAACAGAGTCAGCATGGCTTCATGAGGGGAAATTGTGGCTAACAAATTTATTGCAGTTTTTTGAGGGTAGATGAAAGAGAACCAGTAGATGTGTCATATATTTGGATTCCTAAAAGGTGTTCAGTAAGGAAAAACATAGAAGGCCACTTCAGATAAAAGTTGATGTTGGGGGTAATATATTAGCATGGAGAGAGGATTCACTAACTAATAAAAAACAAAGAGTTGGACGAAGGGGGCATTTCAGAATGGCAAACTGTAACTAGTGGTGTACCATAGGGATCAGTGCTGGTGCCACAATTATTCATAATATATATTACTGATTTGGATGACGAAATGAATGTACTATAGCCAGGTTTGCAGATGACACAAAAAAAGAAGGCAAATGGTGAGGCTGACACAGGGAGATACAGATAGGTTAAGCAAGTGGGACATAACTTGGCAGATGGAATATAATGTATATAGAATCTGTTATACAATGTGAAGTGACACCCTTTGGCAGGAAGAATAGAGGAACTAAATATTATTTAAATTGAGAAAGACTGCAGAAAGCTGAAGCATAGGAAGATTTGGGGAATCCTCTTGTATAAATCATAAGAAGCTAGCATCAGCAGGTAATAGCAAAGTAAATACAATGTTGGCCTGTATTTCAAAGGGAGTGGACTACTAAAATAGGGAAGTTTTGCTAAAACTATACTAGGCATTAGTTAGACACAGATGGAATGCTATGAATAGTTTTAATCCCCTTGTCTAAGGAAAGATACATTGGCACTGAGGGCAGTCCAGAGAAGGTTCAATCAGCTAATCCTAGAAATGGAGGGATTGTCTTAGGAGGAGAGGTTGAGTCGGTTGGTCCTGTACTTATTGGAGTTTAGAAAAACAAGGGGAGATCTTACTGAACTCATGATTCTTAGAGGCCTTGACAGGGTTGATGTGGAAAGGTTGTTTCCCCTTATGGCACCATAGGATCTAATCTCAGAATAAAGGACCATATATTTGAGATAGAGATGAGGAGGAATTTCTTCTCTCAGAGGGTAGTGAATCTGTTGAATTCTTTACCTCAGAAGGCTGTCAAGGCTGGGTCATTAAGTATGTTCAAGGCTGAGACAGACAGATTTTTAATCAGCAAGGGAATCGAGAGTCATAGGGAAAGGACAGGAAATTGGAGATGAGGATTATTAAATTGGCCGTGTTCTGACTGAATGGCAGAGCAGACCTGATTGGCTGAAAGACCTACTTCTGCTCTTATGTCTACAGTCTCTTTTTGTTCGGTTCCCACCGAACATTTTCCTTGAATTTGAACCAATTAGTTCTGAACAGGCTTCTGCAGCCTCTGGTGTAAATTGCATGCAATATGTTGGTGTATTTTCTTGTTTAATGTTTAGCCCAAAGCGATTCTAACTCGAGGAAGCAGCACGCCATCACTACACAACAGCATGTTGCGGAACACTATCTTTCAGCTCATGATCAATACTCTGGACCCCTTGGCTGAAGGTAAACAGCTTCTGTCTGCTACTCTCTGACAGCTAGTTATTTAGCAACTGAAGACCTCACCAAATTGGTTCATTCAGAGTGAGCAGAAATTGGCATTGCCTTTACTAAAAAGTGAATGCTTATTTTTCTGCATTTGTGAAGCACTCCGATGCAAACTTCTATTCGTTTTGATTTAACTCCTTATCAAAAAATGAAGGAATAAGAAATAATTTGTTTACCTCTGCTGCAAATTGAATTCAATTCTAGGTCAGGTTGATCTGCTGTTCGTTCCAGTGAAACCCAATGTGTCCAGCAGTCAAAATTGGGACACTTTGTCTTTTTGAGGGTATCACATGACACTGTATAAACTATCTACTCCCTTAATCTTGCGCAAACGTTTGACAGAACCAGTTTGGTGGGTGACAGTACCACTGATTGCATCCAACCAAAAACAACTTCCTTGCACAGTCAAGATATAATTGAGCAGGATAAGCTACACTTCCTTTGGGAACTACGATGGTATGAGATGAGAGTTGGCTGTGATAGAATGGGGAACATTAGCGAAAGGGTTGATGGTGGGAAGACAATGGCAAACATTTAAAGAGCACATGGGAGAACTGTAACATTTATTCATTCCTGTCTGGCACAAAAGTAAAATGAGAAAGGGGCTAAACCATGGCTTATGAGGGAAATTAGAGACAGTATTAGATCCATGGAACAACAGATCTGAGCAATGGGAGCAGTTTAGAGTTCAACAAAGGAGGACAAAGGGATTGATTAAGTAGGGAAAATAGAGTATAAGAATTATCTTGTGGGGAACATAAAAACTGACTGCACAAGTTTCTGTAGGTATATGAAGAGAAAAAGATTGGTGAAGACAAATGTAGGTCATTTACAGTCAGAAACAGGAATTTATAATGGGGAATAAAGGAATGGCTGATGAACTAAATACATACTTTCATATAGTGTTCACAAAAGAGGACTCAAATAACATCCCAGAGCTACTGGGGAACACAGGGTTTAATGAGAGGGAGAAACCAAAGAAATTCTGTATTAGTAGGGAAACAGTGTTGGGAAATTGATGAGATTTAAGGGAGATAAATCCTCAGGCCCTGATTATCTACATCCCAGAATAGTGAAAGTAGTGCTCTTGGAAATAATAGATGCATTCCAAGATTCTATAGACTCTGGAACAATTGGTACACATAGGAGGGTAGCTAATGTAACCCCTTTATTTAATAAAGGAGGCAGAGTGAAAACTGGGAATTACAGACCAGTCAATGTGATCACTGGTCTAAAGTCCAGTGAAAACATATTTAACCTCCTCCTGACCCCTGCCTCGAATCAACAATGCAATATCAGCTAACCTTAAAAAAATGCTTCAAATTCTCAATAAAATGTTGACCTTTTATCTCATTTATGCCTCAATCTCCTTTCTAGCTGTCAAACTGCCTTGGTCCCTAATCACTCTGAAGGATTACCAACTCTGCCTTTCAAAAATAGATAAGCCGAGATTTGAGGCTAAGCAGATAACTACAAGACACGACAGCTGACAATGTATAAGCACACATGGAAACCTGCACAACATCCTTTCCATTCCATTATTATAAAGCACATTTGACTGATCACTTCACTGCAGCTGATCCAGCTACTTGATGTTTAAATATTTTGAGACATCCTGAAACAACCAAAGAAGGACTTAAGTGGTCACTGTTATCCTGTAGGAAATATAACAATCAATTAGAGTACAGCAAACTCCCACAAAAACAATGTGGTAATGACCAAATAGTCTGTGTTTGTGATGTTAATTTTGGAGGAATATTGGTCAAGGACACCAGAAAGAATTCCTCTGGTTTCCTTTGACCAGCGGCATGGTCTGATTCCAGCTTGGAGACCTGTGGGGACAGAGTCCTTGTGTATATTTAAGACTGAGATGGATTTGTTGGGAATCAAGGGTCACAGAGAAACTGCAGGAAAGTCAGGAAAAGCAGAGGAGGTCAGACAGCATTGACTGAAACATTGACTGTCCTGCTCCTCGGATGCTGTCTGACCTGCTGTGCTTTTCCAGCCTCACACTTACAGACTCTGGCTTCCAGCATCTGCAGTCCTTATTGTCTGTAAGTGCAGGAAAGTCAGATCAGCCATGATCCTATTGAATGGCAGAATAGGCTTGAGGGGCCAAATGACCTACCACTGATCCTATTTCTTATGGTCTGAACAGAAAGATATTTGTAAATACCACATCGAAAAATAAGCCCCTTATACAAAAGTCTTGATCTTGTGCTCGAGACTCCAGACAGGAGCTTGAATCCAGGAGCATTTGGCTCAGAGGTGAGAGTTTTATCCATTGAGCCAAGGAGTGAGCATCTGGTAAAAGTATGGTCAGGGGAACGAGTAGGAAAGGAATAAGCAAGAGTGCCAGCCTGGGACTTGTTCTCCTTCTCCTACTTTATTTCCCGGAGATCCAGATTAGTATGTAGAGCAGTGATTAAACAAAAAAAATCTCAAAACATGGCCATCGTGGCTGGGATCTTTCATGTAAAAAGTTTAGTAACTATAATTCTAGCAGCCGATAGGGCTGCTCTCTCACTAGAGAGAGATGACTGGTGGTGATTTAACCTGAGGGTCACTGCACTGTAGGTGAGGGGAGAGGTTGAGAAGGAGAGTCCAGTGAACCTTCATCAGAACTGAACACATCTCTCCACAGATGCTGCCACACCTGCTGAGTTTCTCGAGCAATTTCTGTTTTTGTTTCAGATTTCCAGCATCTGCAGTTCTTTATTTTTTTTTGGCCGTTACAACATGTCAGTTTCTGCCCTTGTAAGGTGACCTCAGCTGGTACAGGAGCTGAAACCACACTGTTGGTGTTACTTTGCATCACAACCCAGCTGTCTGGGTCAATGGAGATTAAAGAATGTTATTCATTGTTCTGTCAAGACGTGAGAGTCATAGAGATGTACAGCACAGAAACAAACCCTATTTGTCCATCCCAACCAGATATCCTAGATTAATCTAGTCCCATTTGCCAGCATTTCGCTGATATCCCTCTAAACCCTTCCTATTTATTTACCCATCCAGATACCTTTTAAATTGTACCAACTTCCACCACTTCCTCTGGCAGCCCATTCCATAAACACACCACCCTCTGTGTGAAAAAGTATCCCCTTAGGTCCTTAAATCTTTCCCTCTCACCTTAAACCTATGCCCTCTAGTTTTGGACTGCCCTACCCTGGAGAAAAGATCTTGTCTATTTACCCTATCCATGCCGCTCATGATTTTATAAACCTCTATAAGGTCACCCCTCAGCCTCCAATGCTCCAGGAAAATGGCTCCAGCTTATTCAGCCTCTCCCTGTAGCTCAAGCCCTCCAACTCTGGTAACATCCTTGTAAATCTTTTTTGCACACTCTCAAGTCTAACAATACCTTTCCTGTAACAGGGAGACCAGAACTGAAAGTAGTATTCCAAAAGTGGCCTCACCAATGTCCTGTATAGCCGCAACATGACATCCCAACTCCAATACTCAGTGTACTGACCAATGAAGGCAAGTGCACCAAACGCCTTCTTCACCACTACCTATCTACCTGTGACTCCACTTTCAAGGAACTATGCACCTGTACCCCTAGGTCTCTTTGTTTGGCAAAATTTGCCCGGGCCCTACTATTACATATGTAATTCAACCTTGGCAAACATACAAGTGCCTACTCTGTTCAGCTCTCTGCTTTATTGGTTAAGAGTTGCTTTAAGAGAATGTGGTTAGTAGGAAATACAAACATTGAGAAGGTTAGTTTGTTAATACTCCAGAATTGTCCTGTTATCTCTGGGATTTAAATGTTAACTTCCTGAACATCATTATGAGTAAATCCGGGAGAAATATTAGAAAGCCATCAAAACCATTCCATGTTTTATTCACTTTCTTCAAAGGCTATTTTTTTTGGAAATCAAATAAAGTTTATTTTGACCATGTGGTGTGTTTGCAGGCTAGACAGTGTTTTATGATGAAACCTCCGGGAACATGTCCAACCAAAACTAGCAAATACTAAAATATTACAGATGCTGGAAATCATTAAATCAGAAATTTGCTGGAAAAATTTAGCAGGTCTGGCGGCATCTGTGGAGAGAAAGCAGAGTTAATATTTTGAGTCCAGACCAAAGAAGGGTCACTGGACCTGAAACATTAACATTGCTTTCTTTCCAAAGTTTGGCAATCCCAGATCAGACAGAGTCTATTTAATAATGGATTGTATGGGTCTAGAGAGCACATGCAGAATCAGTATCTGTGATCAAGAATGTGTTTAGGTCCTGCTTGTTGTTTAAACATTATCTCTCAAAATAAATGAAAAGGATATTCTGGGATATCCTGGATCCACTTGATATTTTGTTTAATAAAGGCTTCAAAGAGCTGGCAAATGAGCTCCCATGTGGAGAACTACCTCTTCAGCCAAGAGATTTAACACTCAATGTCCACAAAGTTCAGAAAACTGTAGTCTGTGATATTCCAGCACCCAGAATCCCAGTCATTCCAACATCCTAAATCCCAGCAATCCTAACACCCAGAATCTCATAATTCTAGAACTCTGAATCCCCAGTAATGTCAACACTCTGGATCTTGCCTGGTTCAATGGCTCCAGATGCAAAAGTAACATTTCTGCATCACAGTTTATTTTGGTTCATTAAGGAAGCTGATTCCATATGAAATAGTAAGAATTGCCAAAGCTGATTCCATATGAACACCTTTTTAAAGCAAGGGAAGTGTGGATTAGGATCAGCAGGATCCTTACATTTTCAAAAAGGAGCCATTATAACATCTGTAGAGAGAAAGCAGAGTTAATGTTTTGGGTCCAGTGATCCTTCATCAGAACTGAACACATCTCCCCACAGATGCTACCAGACCTGCTGAGTTTCTCCAGCAATTTCTGTTTTTGTTTCAGATTTCCAGCATCTGCAGTTTTTTGTTTATTTTTTGGCCATTACAACATTTTAGTTTCTGCCCTTGTAAACTCATTAATGAATGATCTGGAA